AAGAACAGCCATCGAGCGCATCCGTAAGCGGAAGTCCATACGTGCATAACCCCACGCCGCTCCACTCCTCCGTCACCGCTTCCTCAGCGGCGACAAGCGCACCGACGGCCACTCCGCGGCGACCCTCCCGGTGCAGAGGCCAGGAGGAGAACGAGGTCGTGTCCGTCTCCTGCAACAAGTGCCGCCCCACCTCTCGTGACAAGCTCATAACAGTCGTCCCCCTCGATAACGCCGCTGGCCAGCATCAACACCCCATGGTGTCTTCTTCTCCCAGCCTCCGCGGCCTCCGATCTCTCTTCCTCTCCCTCACCGGCCGGAGCCCTGCCGCCGCTTCAGCCACACCAGTTTCCGACGTTCACGAGGACCAATGGCGCCTCGCAGCGGCGGAGCTGTCGCGGAAACTCGTCCACGCTACCCGAAAACGCGATGAAGCCCTCGTTGAGGCCTCCCGCCTCAAGTACTCCCTCGCCGAGCTGGAGCGAAAGGTCGAACGCCTCGAGTCGCACTGCCGCGACCTCGGAGCCGCCCTCCAACCGGGCCCGGCTACCGGCTTACCCCCGTCCTCTGCCCCTTTCACCGCCGAGGCCTTCCACCTCGCCATCGCCGAAGCCCACACGGCCGTGCGCCACCTCGCCCGCTCGCTGATCTCGCAGGTCCGTCTTGCGGGGCCAGGCTCACGGTCCTCCGACAGGGTCGCGACGCTGATCCAGCCGTACGATCCCCGGGCCGCGGTCCAGTGGCGGAGGAACCCAAGCGGGCTGCTGTTCTACATGGAGGCGCTACTGAACCGGGTCCTGTACGCCGGATTCGAGGAGGACGACGAGGAGGAGTCCGACCTGATCGACCCGGCGGCACGGTGCGAGGCCAGCCGGACGGGCTACGAGGCCGTCCGAGGGCTAGGCTGGGACGAGGTTCTCAGCAAAGGCACGAGGCACTACAGCGTGGGGCTGAGCCGGTTCTGTGACCGAAAGATGAGCGAGGTGGTGGCGATGGTGGGACGCACGCGGCCGTGGCCTGAGGGGCTGCTGCAGGCCTTCTTCGGGTCGGCGAAGGGGGCGTGGGTGGTCCGGCTCATGGCCCGGTCAGTGCACCCGGCGATCCCGACGCTGAGGGCGAACAGAGGGGCGAGGTTCGATGGCCGGTTCATGGAGGACGTAGCGGCCGACAGGGTCAAGCGGCTGACTCCGGTGGGCGTGCGGATGATGGTGGCGCCGGGGTTCCACGTGTACACCGGCGGGGTGGTGAAGTGCAAGGTGCTCTGCGTGTACAACAGCGGCAACACGGAGTGCAGCATCGACAGTTGCAGCGGAAGGAACACTTCCGAGAGGCCGCAGCAGCAGAAGAGGCAGTCGATGTGAGTGAGAGAAGTAGTGGCCAACAGTCGTGCAGGGGATGTGAATACTAAGAATCTAATGATTCCAAGAAGCAATGCTGTGTAATGATCCCAAGATTTCGGAAATGCTTCTGTTTTCAGCTTGCTTTGGTTTTTTTTCTTTTGTTTTCCTTTTAATACTTGTTTTTAGTAAAAGGCTGTGTATATGGATTTGGATACTGGTTTTTTGTTTGAAGAAAATGCGCAATAATATTGATTGTGAAGTAAGAAGGTTTACGATTAAATATGAATTGAACTCCTTGAAATGATTGTAGTATGTTTTTTATTTATATAAACATCATTCCAAAGATCTTGATGTTAATAAAATTTAATGTCATCGCTTGACTTTGAGATTTTCATAATATCCTTCCAATGTTTAAATTAGTTTTAGAAGTTTATTTTATTTATATTTTTAAAAAATATATTATTTTATTATTTATAACTCTTTTATTATCAATTTCACCCTTTTTTTTTTCATAATCCTATATTTTTTATCGACATCATCATCGTCCTATGCTCCCTATGACGTCGATGCTCTCGATCATCGCCTTATGCTCATTGTCAATATTGTCCGATCTTGCCTGTTGTCCCCTCGATATCATTCTCGACGCTCTCAATCATTGTCTTATGCTTTTTGCCAATATCATCCAACCTTGTTCGTTGTCTTCTCGATATCATCCTCGACGAGGAAGGAAGAAGTTGATGATGAGGTAAAAGAAAAAAAAGATGATAGGAGCAGGAATTTCTTTTTATTCATTTGTAAATACAAATGAATAACATAAAAATATAAAAAGAGGTTACATATAGTATTCTCTGAGCTATGGGTGGAAAGATTTGGTGGTATTGATAAGTGTAAGGGAAATCCTTTTATAATGAACTCTTTGGATTATACCTCTTGTGATCTGACGGAAGCAGTTATACATTTCTCTGAGCTTAACCATAATTGTGTTGTGTCGAATTTAGGATATAATAAAGTCCAATCGTGTCAACCTTATGTCAAGATGTCATATGGTTTTGAAGTATCGACTATATTATTCATAGAACACTAAGGTGTTGATCATATCATATTATAATGTCGATTATGTTTTTGTCCCTATATCATAGAATCATTTGATGATAAGCTTAGGTTTTAATTTATATATATTTTTATTTTTTAATTGGGTAATATTAATCATAATAAATAGTTACCACTTTGGTATTTGGAGGAAGTATTAAAGAGAAGAATATTTTGTTAGATAAATAAATTGGAGAGAATAAATTTACACCTTGACTAATGTTTAAGTTACTATATGATTTTTGGCTTAAGATTAGATTTCTTATTAGTAACTTAAAGAGTTCATGTCTTAGTTAAAATCATTTTGTTTGGGTAACCTAATGCATTGGAGCATTTAGAAAGGAAAAAGAAAATAAAAACAATTTTTAATTACCTTTCTCTCTACTCTTCGCTTCTCTTTTCTTATCCAACTCAAATCGAATCCAAATCTAATCCTATTTGGAATCCAACCCAAGAAAGAAGTCTTGGGTTGGGCTCGTGCTCTCGACATGAGTTAGATTGCATCCAAACCTACAACTTGTCTAACTCATCCTTTGATGTCGAAATACCTCATGAAAGGATTAAAGAAAGATGGCAGAGTCAATTAATAATATAAAAGAAAGAAAAATAATAATAATATTTTCATTCATCGATAATCATATAATTTCAATAAGATAATTATTGTATTTGGAAGAAGTGAAATGCTTACTATTAACAATTCCGAAAGCCGTAAAATGATTTTACTAGAAAGTATAAATAAAAATTTAAATATTTTAATTTAAACATGCAAAAATAATTGGGATATTACAGCTTTGTTGTGCAACAAATCTAAGTTAGACATACTAATCTTATTTGTTAGGTTATAGACTTAAGTTTTGGTTTGAACCTTCTCTTGTTGCCCAAAACCACAATCAAATTGCTTCATTGATCCAAGACATCAACCTCTGCAGAAGAAGATGTGCCAATATATTTGTTCTTGTAAGGACATGAAGGGGACACACTGTTCCACTTGATTCAAAGCATAGTGCATGAAATCATCCACTGAAGACACAGTGTGTTCCCTCTTGGGGGCATGCAATGCAATCAGAATCATTCGTGCCCATACTTTGCTACTACTCTCCTAGATTCAGTTCTTCCTTCGCACATCCTTTAAACCGATAAACTGAGACATCAAATCTATCCTCAATCCAAATCTTCATCTTCTGCTGGTGACATTGACTCATTAGATTCTTGAAGCCCATACCTTGTCCTTGAGAGACCAGCCAAGTCTCATAGAACACAGACCAGTGTCTGATCTCGAGTGCTCACATGAGCCTAACGAATATATTGGCTGCGACGCGATCGAACGACAAGGCAACACAGCATCAACAGTATCCAATATAATAGTAGGCTTTGGTGGCATGTAAGCTTGTATGTGGAATGATGATATAAGTACTAACCGATAAGTAGTTTAGTGTCAAAAGACAAGAAAATTCAATAAAGGATTTTACGAAAACTATATTAGGGATATGCTCGATAGAGATTTCTTCGATGCTTAAGTTGATAGTGTAATCGGAGGATTTAGGAGTGTCCTCAAAGAACCTTTTTATAAGAAGCTTGAGTAATTGTTAAAGCAATGAGTTGTTCTACGAGATAGTTATGTCGATCGCAAGACATCCATTGGGTTTGCTAAGATGATTAGGTTTGACACTGACCGACATGTCAAACTGATGAGACGTGACATAAGCAATATTAGATCTTCGTATCTATCTTCATTTTCATTAGTCTCGGTTTTTCTCTATTCTGATCAATAATAATTATCACGATTGATGTGGATAAGTTTAAGTTTAACAGTGTTCGAACACCGTAGTCGACAAGCGTTACGATTGCTCCTCTGTATCGGAGGAAGTGTGAAGCAATGGATAATCTATTCTCTTCTTAGTACGACTGCAATATTAGTCTGTAATAGTCGGTGCGTTTTGCCGCCCGATGCTTCCAAACCATGAGGCAAAGCCTCGGAAATCTCAACATTTTAGTTTGGTCCGCGACAGGTTAGGTCGGATCAGATCGGATCAGGCAGACATCACAGCTCATGCATCAATATTTTGGGAGAGGAAGCCTTACTCCATGCATGTGTGCTCCGTGCAGATCAAACTATAGAGAATAGGAGATACCGAAGCAGCGTCTTCCATGAAACAACCTGCTGAGAACGGGCAACATCGAGGAAGATGACAGAGGAACTACAATAAGGTCTCATCCACGTGCTACTCCGTGGAGTTCCCATCCCGCTTCCTGCAGACGTAAATTTCACATGCTGCTTGTTTCAGATGCACGAGGAAGATGTCGACAAGGAAGATGTTGGCTAGCTTAAGAACACTACACCAAGATTTAGATGGATGAACACTTTTAAGTCAATGTGTTAACGATCTATTACAGAAGGTTCTCTTGCGGACTTACTTGTTTCTAGTTCTGTGTCACATGCATTGTTGTGTTTATGGTGATCCATCTGACTCTATAAAGACATCTGTTAACATAGATCTCCTTTGTCTCTTCTATAAATATACATATATAGAGAGAGAGAGTGTGTGTGTCTGAGAGTCATGTCAACGTGATTCAACAGGTGAAGTGAAGTGGATCTGATGCATACCAGCAGGCAAAGGAAGTAGTGATGGAGCATGCCAACTAGGCCGTACAGAAAGATGCATATTATATGGTGGTCTGTAGCCTATATATATATCCACGTTTGTGAGCTTGTGGATACCCAGAAAACCTAATCGACATCACTAAACAAAGAAGAAGAGGAAGCAGCAGCAGAAGAAGAAGAGAATTAAGCTACAGAGGCATGGTTTGGTCTGCTGAGAATGCCACCAAAGCTTTCCTCCGGACACTGAAACTGGTAAGCAAAGCCACCACCACTTGAGCTTTTCCCGTCCGATGCAAGCTGTAGGAGTTTGAATGGCTGACTGCATGAGCTTCCTGCGTTGGTTTTTTGCAGGGAAACAAGGCCAAGGAGCCCGACCTCACCGAGTTCGTGTCGGCATTGGCCGCCGGGAGCGGCGCACGCCTCATGGTGGAGGTGTGCGCCGACTCCGCTGGGCCGACCACCCTGGCGCTGATCGCCGCCGCGGATCAGACCGGCGGCCGGATCGCCTGCATCGTTCGCGGGCCCGACGAGCTGCACTCCTCGCTGGAAGCGCTCGGGCCCGACGCGGGCCGCGTGGACCTCGTCGTCGGCGACGCACAACACCTGCTGCTGGGGGAGTACAGAGGCGCCGACTTCGTCCTCGTCGACTGCGCGTCGGAGGAGCACGAGCGGGTGTTCCGGGCGGCGCAGCTCGGCGCCATGGAGGCCTGCGGCGGAGTCGTGGTCGGCCACAACGCCTTCTGCGAGAGCTCGAGTCCGAGCGTCGACGCCCTGGGGGGGCTGAGGGTGGATCTGCTGCCCATCGGTGGCGGGCTGAGGGTGAGCCGGGTGCCGCCGGCCGGCAAGAGGAGCCAGTGGGTGGTTCGCGTCGACGAGTGCACCGGCGAGGAGCACGTCTTCAGGATCACATCTCCTCGCAAGAAATGGATCGAAGCTTAATGAGGGAAGGAAGGGATTGAAGCCTCCCTCCCATTTGCATCTTAATAGGCTTCTACTGCAATACATGTAGTGAGTGCGATCGATTGCAAGGCAAAAGACTTCTTCTCATTAATAATGGCTCAAAAGAAGTCATCCTCCAATATATATATATGTACATAATTTTCAGCACTAATTTATGTATAATGTACCAAAGTGTAAATTTGGAGACTCATTTAAATGTGATATTGTGCCTAATCATCTTATAATAGGATTAATAATCGTTATCTTTCCTATATGAATTAATCAGAGAGATTCGATTTTATTGGAACATCCAATTGGTTAATGCATTATTGTACGAGTGGCTAAGTAGAAGCCCTACGGCCCAACCCAATGCAATCAATGACTATGGTCTAAAGTAAGTTTGATTTAGATGTTACATTGTGATTAGAATGGTAACTTCAAATTATACATATAATTCAGATCATATATTATAATCAATTCACATTGTAGTATTAGATTATGTGATCCTATTAACTTTCGATGAGGTATAGAAAATTCATGTTCACTTATATTATATTAGTAAATCTTACGGAGAGACTTTATTAATTATTTATTGATAGGACTCCTTGTGAATATTAAAAAATATATACAATGGATTTTTTTAAATCTATATGATAGATTCTATAAAGGATAGAAAGAGCGGAGAAGAATATGTGGATGTGATAAAAGTATTCTAACAATAATGACATTCAAAGGTTCACAAACCTGTTTTGATTTTTGATTTTTTAATTTTAATTATGATAGGATAGAGAGAAAAAAAAAAAGAATGCGGATATTGATATTGTTTTAAAGGATGAAATATTTTAGTTGTTAGGTGACAAGATAATGATGATTTGAGTAATTAGGATTATTTCATGTAAATTTTTATGCTTTATTTAATAGAAAAGTTCAAAAATTTTCTTTAGTAAAAATATTTTTAGTAGAAAGGTGACATGATAGTGATGATTTGAGCAAAACAAAACCCACTTATGCTATTTTAGTAAAATAATCATTTTAATTTCTCATGTAATGAAAGAAAAATATTTCTCTTGTTTGACCCCCAAACAAGGAATATTAGTGATGGCAAAATATTCTTAATTAATGGTCACTCTTTCTTTTTTAATGGCAAGATGAATGGTGGCATGAGGTGGCCATGACACAAATTCCAAATGATGTTAACATTACCATCAAATAAGCTGTCATTATGTCATGGCATGATGTGGTGGCACATTCAATGATTCCAATTCCGACTGCCTTTAAACAAGGAAAAGGGAAGATGCGTGGTAATCATGTCAATTAGACATATAATCAACAAGCCTAAGCCATTAGCACAAATGATGGATACTTCGCTTATATTAAATCATTTTTTTCCTTTTTTATAGTATGAGTGATGATGAGACTGTGATACCTTTTTTCTTCTCTTGATTATGATACTTAGTTTGATCTATTGCGTGTGTTTTAGTACAGATAGGTATGTTAAAATAATTTTCTTTTTCTTTTTAATATTATATGTTTTGGTTATATTTACAAATAGAATTCTAAGTAGAGATAAGTCATTCCTATTTGCATAATTATACTAGAATTTTAGTTAATCTAATAAAAATTGTTCAAACTCGTTCTTATCGTCTCGGATTAAAATTATCATATTTCATGCACATAATTAAGCAGGATATGTATGATGATGGATTTTCTTGATTGCAAAAGATCACTACTTAGCTAATTGTAAAGGATTAATGCTTCTGCATAACCCTCTTTAGTAACAATGAAAAATGTACTAATTCTTGGAATTAAAACTCGAGATAATAATGCTCATAGTTACTCCTTTACCACTTGTATATTAATCCTCCTCACACACTTTAAAGTCTTAATCATCACAAGTCAACCAATTGTACCTAAAAGAAAAATAATAGAAACAATACCAAACAAATATATATATATATATATATATATATATATATATATATATATATATATATATATATATATATATATATATATATATATATATATATATATAAAAATATATGAGCCTCTTTGTTGAAAAAAGATAGAGAAAGAAAATACAGAAAAAGAGAGACGTGAGAGAGAGTCGCGGTCCACGACAAAAATCTCCTCGATCTACACTTTCAAATATATGTCATCATTTTTTCTACTTGCTCCTTAAGATGGAAGTAGTATATCCAATATGCACGATCCATCTTTAGGTGTAAGTTTCTGTATTATAGCTCTAATATCATATTAGAAAAGAGATAGACAAAAAAATTACTAAAGAAGCTTGAATACATTAACATATTAGAATTTTTTTATTTATATAAATTAAAAAAAAATTAATAAAATAGAGGATTTCTCTCTACTATTTTTAGATAAATCTAAATCTTATCTACCATCAGTCACCATATTCTTTATATAGTTAGAGAAATCTAATATTCTTTATATAGTTAGAGAAATCTAAATCTTATCTATTATCAGTCACCATCTTCTGAACAAATGCTCTTCGTTGTTGTAATCATCCACATACCTAATCCACCGGGAACGGACGTCACCCAAGCTCGGCCCCTTCCCAACGCCGACATGGAACACCTCCACGCCGCCCTCTAAGGGTAGGTACGTCGCCCGCACCACCCTCGTCCCGGCCCTGAAAACCCCGGCCGCCCCGCCTCGCTGCCTACCCGCCCATTTGCACACCACCACCATCCCCCTCTCCCCCGGCCGCGCCTCCCTAAGCACCCTCCCGGCGTCCCTCCGCCGGCAGTCCACCACCATCAGGTCCACCCCCTCCAGCTCCCGCATCGCGCCCTCCGCTTCCCCCACCGCCACCGACTCCGCCTCCACCGACTCGCCCGCCCGCCGCATGGCCCCGACGTACTCCGCCGCCCACTGCTCGTCAGGGACGACGCACACGTGTCGGCCTCGCACGTGCTCGACGGCAGCTCGGAGCCCGACGCCGGTGGCAGCGCCTGCGTCGCGGGCCCACGCTTCCACCACGAGTTGAGCCCTCCAACCTCCGGCCATGGCGGAGACCATCTCGGCCACGCTGCTTTCCTCGAGGCCGCGTTCGGCGAGGGCCTTCACTGCGTCGACGTAGGCCTTCAAGGCGGTATCCGGGCACCAAACCAGCTTCATCCTTGTCCTCTGCCTCCTCCTCCGCTCCGCTCGACAGATGGTGGTGGGGGTTGTTGAACACGGTGGGGCTGTGGATGATGGACTATATAAGTGGAGGGAAGAAAGATTTTCTTGGGATATCACAAAAGATCTAACAATAGATTCGTGACGGTTGACAGTGGAGCGAAGCACGGCATTTTACCGTTTTTGTTATGTAGGCGGCCCGCTCTTTCCAAGTCCAACTCGAGCACGTCTCCATGGCTGAGAGTGGAAACGAAATATTTCCTTTTACTATTTAGATCTTTTTATGATATATATATATATATATTAAAAGGTCATAAATATCTCCAAAAACTTGGTCGAAGAGTTCTTAGATTAAGATCTAGAGAGCAGGTAGACTAGATTAGGTTGCTTGCGTGTATTGTGTGTATACGTACGCAAAGAACCTTAAAGAACTTGGGATTCACACACCACTTAAATGTGGTGTTGGTGAAAACTAATGAGAAGAAACAAAGAAAGGAAACAATGAAGTTTTCGTGAATGGCTGCTCATCAAGATCGTTGACTTCGTACAGCTACCGGTGAGGCGTTGACTATGGGAATAGGACAAAGAGTTGGATGGGAGTAGAGGATAAGAACAGCATGAAACATGTGGGGGGAGTACGAAGAAGGCGACCACATCCGTAGTGCGACCGTCGTACTCCCGGAGTACGAACCAAACAACTGTTAGAAGATGATGATGGAGTTTTCAGATCCGGAGTTCGAAAAGAGTTGTAGAACAATGTTTTGATCCACTCAAACCTGATGCTAAAACTTGTGATGAATCCAATTGCAACAAAGCTCGAACAAAGCAGAGCAGTAGTTTTGCGAAAAAGACTCGAACAAAGCAAAGCTCCATTGCAACAGATGAAGAAACTATATTCCAAGTTGAAAGACAAATGCATGAAAGAAGCAAAGAGGGAAAAAATGGTGGCAATCCAAATCGTACCTTATTGTATATGAAGTAGACATCTCCGAGAAGGATATCACTGCATTAGCTTGTATCAGAATATCAAAGAATGAAATGTATACAACATCCGATATTTACTTGCGCGAAACCATCCAAAATAACATGTTTCAGAGATTTTCTTTGAGCTTCATCTTTGAAGAAAAATAGGTATTACAACAGAACAAAGCAAAGTAGTTAATGGAAGTACTATGAGAGCTTATCAGACTCTCCCATTACAGTCAGATCTTGTTCTTCCATACTGCTGCACATTATCATTTTCCTTGTAGTTTCTACCATAATAAAATTTGCTTTAGGAAAAAAACAGAAGATTTAAGCAGAGAGAAGGATAAAAGAAACTCATAATTGTTTTTTTTATGATAACTACCATTATGCCGACAAAAAGGGTTAAATTCAAAGGCATGAGTTGCAAGTAGCTACAAAGCTAGAGGTTTACAGGATTGATTAACCAACAAAAACAGAGAGATGAAGCAAAAATTTGAAGCCACCTGAAAGAAAGTAATTTTAGTAAACAGTAAGCTTTCATTAACAACCAAGACAAAAACAGAGGTTGGAGCTTTGCCCTTATGTTTAACTCAGTCGTATGGTTGAGGTTTGACCTTTTGAGAACCTTGATAAGACTATCAATTTGGAAGATGTGCAATGAATGACAAAGAAAATCAAAAGAACCAAGATAAATATCAAGTTTTATCGAAATAAAAGGTCATTTTACTCTAATCCACAATCATCAGACTAGAATTCGCAAGGATTTACACTTAGAAACCAGTATCTTGTACTGGTACTAGTTACTACGACAAACATAATTCCACATAAAAATACTGGAATCGTGTTTCCAGGACTATATATTGAAAAACCTACAAAATTTGATCACTCAAAGAAAAGCAAAGGTCACTTTAATGTTTAGTGGATGGGAGGAAAGGAGTTCTGAAAAAAAGATCTATTTTGCCGATTTGTCTTCATGATATAAAGAGTTCCCTAATTTTTCTTCTAATTCTTTCTTTTTCAGTCAAAGTCCTCCTCCTAGCTTCCCCACCTTCTCTCCGAGTGCACATATCTATCTTACTGCTTCTCCAGATTGCTATGACCAAAACGAAAGGTGAATACCAATCGAAAAATGTTTCATTCAACTTAAATGGAATCCACTTATTAAAACCCTAAAGTTAAAGTTCTCCACAGTCATGCTTTACATGCAGGAAATGATGGGCCATGATTCACAAGGTCCTTCCAGAATGATTACTTGAAATACTTGACAACAGCTCATTAGATGTTAGTTAAAATAACACTTTTGCATCATTTTACCTCTTGTGTCATCATTGCTTTAAGATGTCTCCACCCAAAAATACGCTCATGGATATTATGAGCCACCAAAACAAATACTCATTGGTTTAGGGTTCTTGATTTCAAAGTGTATTTCCAGACTCATACCATGAGGAACTCATCTCCAGTTCCATGACATATCAATTTAAATCCACAATAAAGAACTGAGTTGGTCCACTATCAGTTTAGACATATGCATCATGGATCTTGTGTTTCTAGGCTCATCAAGTTAATAGGTCAGTTTTTTCATCGATAGGATCATGATAAATGGTATCATATGAGACTCAGTACTGGACATAGTAAAAGGCTGAAGCCACAGAGTTATGGACTTCAAGCATCACATATTAAGGTATGATTCTGGATTACGCTTGTCCTTTGACGAGGATGCCAAATCTTAAGTGGAGGAGATTGACAACCCAGTTTCCTCATATCAGACCTGGGAAGAGAATTAAGATAGTATATAGGGTAATATTAGCTATTAGCCTGTGCTTAAAAGGTTTGGTCACATGATTCTAGATCTGGCTCGTGATGTGTTTTCTTCATGAAACTTCCCTTCAAATATAATATAAGTATTGAGATTATCAAAACTTGTGAAACAAATTCCAGCAGATTTAGTAGGCTGCCAAGATACTAAGCGCTACGGTAAATCCATCTTTCAATTATATGAAATTGATTGATCATATGAGACCAATTCTAGTCAATATATTGGAATGCCAAGATACTACGCACAATGGTAATTCATCCCTCAATTACATAAAATGAATTGATCAAACATTTACCTCATTTCTCTTTATCTTTCTCGTGATAATGACATTCTTCCATATCTTAACCATCACGGGAGCAACACGTACCAATATATATGTAGTTGGCATAATCCACTTTTCTTCCACTTTTGAGATTAAAGTATTCAAAAACTCTTGCATATATGGTGAATGCTTCCAATGATAGCTTTGTGATTTTTTTTATTAGAATGGATTAATAAAGTGATGTTAAAATAATGAAACTAACCTACCTTTTGGTCTCCACTAATTATAAGAATTTTTAACCAAGGATGTTTCTAGAAGAGATCTAGGAAGACAAAATTCTAATGAGGCAATGGCATAGATAGAGATCACACCTAAAGCCTCCATCCTTCTTGCCCCTTCCACATAAATTACAGATCTCATGACACAGCAACAAGGAAGATGACAATAGCTTGCAAAGTCCCAACTATTTGGGATATGTTACATTGATTGTTTGCTACCATTAAGCTCTATGTACCTCTAGTTATATCAAGAAAAATACAATCTCTTTTTGGTGTTCCTAGTAAAGTTTTGTTAGGTTTCCTGGTCTTCACCTTGCACCATCAATCCTAATCAACTCAGCTCATCTAACCACATTACCTATAGATCTTCTTAAAGCATGTTCATTTGATCTTAAACAATTTTACGTTTAGTCTCTATCAAGACTACATTTCTTATCCTATTTTCTTGGTTACCCCTCACATCCACTGTACCTCATCTCAGTAAAACTAACATTTTCTGAAGCACCATTATTCAAAGAAACAAGTTTTTATAGTTAGCAACATGCTAAAGTTCAAATTCTATAAAAAATTCTTCAGTATATTAGTACCATAATATGGCAAAGCCTTTACCACTAAACGAAGCAACATCTCATCTAAGAAAATTTAGATTCATTAGGTAATTATATCATCAGATGACACCTAGTAGGTATTCTTAGTTTCCATGACTCATGTAAACAACAATTTATCTATTTAGAAACAACAATTGCTAACTTAATGTTTATACCATAGGTGTGCCTGACTCTCCCTTGCTCCCCTTGCTTAAGCAGCTTTAGGAAGCAACTGAAAACTTACAATTCTATACCATTATACTTAAACCTGTTTCACATGGATACAAGCATTCTGACTATATATTAATCTGGCAGTACTAGTCAGCTTAGTATCAATGACCTAATGAAGTGAAGAGAAAGCAAAATAACAGATGAATCCTGACTAAAAATTTCGAGATATAAAGTTCATGGAAACAAGAATATCGAATGAATTAACATGCTCTCACATTTAAATCATTATTCATGTACAGATGATAACCTAAAAGAAATGCAGAATGTGGAACATGGAAAACAATAGAAGAAGAGATCAGTCAGTAAAAGAAAACATGTACTGTGTTCTCTTTGCTAGTTCAGAATATGAGAAAGTCATGCAAAGGATGCACCATGCCAGTAGAGAAGCCTTACATGACTCTTAAGTTCCTCCGACAATCACATTATGCAATATTGAAGAACGACAGGAAGAACCACAAATTGGTCAAAAGGCTAACTGAAGGAAGTTTAAAAGGAGAGGAAAAAATTACGTGACAACATCAATAGCATATGAAGGATTTGAAGAACAATCCTGACCACCTCAATTACACCGCAACCGGGCTGCTGCTCTCACGTACCATCAGCTAGCTACTAATTCTTCTACCTTTGCTGTCATTCTTGCTCAAGGAGATGGAGTAGTATTCGAGGTACCAACGAACAAATTTCTTGAGTCCAGTGTGGAGGCCAGTAGTGGGACGGTATCCGAGCTCCTTCTGTGCAAAGGTAATGTTGGCATGGGTGAACTGCACATCCCCGTTCCTGGGCATCTTAACAAGCTTCTTGACCGCCTTAACCTTGAGAAGCCGCTCGAGGATGGAGACGAGCTTGGTTACAGGAACAGGGGAGGTGTTGCCCAGATTGTAGATTCGGAGGGGTGCCGGCCCACGCTTCTTGCCGCCGCTGCCGGTGCTCTTCCCTGCATGGTCGAGGGCCGCCAGGCAACCTTTCACAATGTCATCAATGTAGGTGAAATCACGAGCGACGGTGGCGTGGTCAGGGCCTTCGAAGATAGACACGGGCTTCCCGAGGAGGATATCACGGGTGAAGAAGAAGTAGGCCATGTCGGGCCGCCCCCAGGGGCCGTAGACCGTGAAGAACCGGAGACCGGTGATGGAGAGGCCGTAGATATGGTTGTAGGCATGGGCGATCTCCTCCCCGGCCTTCTTGGTGGCGGCGTAGAGGGACGCCGGGCGGTCGGTGCGGTGGGCTTCCGAGAATGGCACACGCGAGTTGAGGCCATATACGGAGGACGACGAGGCCCAGACGATGGCCGGTTGGGGGTCGGCGGCCTTGGCGGCCTCGAGCACCGAGACAAGCCCGGCGACATTGGAGTGCACATAGGACGCCGGGTCAACCAGCGCGTGCCGGACGCCGGCCTGGGCGGCAAGGTGCACGACATGGGTGAAGGGCACGACGTCGAACAGCTTGCGAAGCAGCGCCCCATCGTTGATATCGCCCTCGACGACGAAGACCCCGGCGCGGTCGAGCAGCGCCTGGCGGGCGCGCTTGAGGGACGGGTCGTAGTACCCATTAAAGTTGTCAAGGCCGAGGACGCCATCGCCGCGGCGCTTGAGGGCGGCGGCCACGTGCATCCCGACGAACCCCGCGGCGCCGGTGACGAGGACGGACGCGCCGCCGGGGTTTCGCCGCACCCGGGCGGACGACCGCACGCGCTTCTCCCAAGCGGGGCCGCCCCAGGGGGCCATCTGGAGGGCGGCGCGCCGGACGCCGGAGGAAGTCGACGAGGAAGCAAAAGAATCAGGGGTTCGGGCCGGGGCGGAGGAGCGGGGGGAGAGGAGGAAGATGGCAAGGAAGAGGGCGAGGGCGAAGAAGGACCAGAAAACGAGCTTGGAGACGGGATAGGAATGGTGCCAGCGGGGGAGGAGGAGGCGAGGGTGGTGGCGGTGGTGGGGCTTCTCCATCTTCCACTTTCCAGGGGTGGAGGGAGCATCATCTATATCCATGGCCGCAAGATCCTCTTTTGTGTGGGATTTAGGGGCGATCCCCTCCCTCTCTTATGGCGTCGGTCTCACTCCGACACCCACCAATTTGCTGTTGGAATAGTGAGATCGAGCGCTTGCGTCCAACTTCGTCTCCTACCTCACTCGATGCTGGCCATAAGCATTCGGATGTCGCCTCCTTTTGCCCTCTGTTACTTGGCGTTGTGGCAAAGCGCCGATCCCTTTCTTCCTCCACAAACCTACCAATTACTTCGTTCGTGGGCGGAGGCGCACTTGGAGGGAGGAGTAGAGTCATCCAAGTCAAGGCGGGTCCCACGCGGGTAATCACTTGGGGTGGAGCAGACTCGCCGTTTCTTCCACGATAGATCAGGAGACCCAACGATGATTGACTTGCAGATTAGATGCATGTTTCTTAGGGCACCCATCGAGAACCAAGCATGTGGATTTCATGTGGATCCCCTCAAAAAACGGTCGATCAGATGCTGTTTTGATGCCATTTTTGTGTTGGTTACCGCACGCACAAGATCCTGATAAGCTATTCGATCTCGATCCATCATCCTATCATCGATCGTTACCAAATCTCCATTCCCCATTTCGATTGATCGATTTATAATCGGTTCATCTTATAGAGACACAACAACAACTGTTAAGGGGAAGAATCCAACCACATGACACGATTATTAGGAACATCTCATTTGTTGTTGGATATCGAACCCATGATCTGTAGTCCTCCACCTAAGTAAAGATCCATCGAACCATCGGTGTTTCGGCTGGAGCACCATCATCCATCCTGAAGCTGACCACTCCATGGTGGCACCAACCACGGAAAGCTAAAAGATCTGCTCCCTCCACCGTAGATTTTGATGGGATTTAGTAGGAGATCGACCGTCATCTCACTCTGTACTGAAACCAAATCTTCCATATTTTCAATATTCGTATCTGAATCCATCTGTTTATATAAACCAACTAAAAACTCGTGAATTAATCGTGTATGGAAATTGAGGTCCGAAGCTTAGTAAAACCTGTCTGTGGACACGCTCAAGAGCTTGTTGAGAGACATGCCTTTACCCCTCACCTCCCTTTTGATCTCGTACCTTTTCTTGATCCGGTCGTCGAGCTTGTAGCCGAGGAATGCGGGGAAGACCAGTATCTCCCCGACGTCCCTCTCCATGTACCCGATGAGGAACTCCAGCTTCTTCTCCAGGGACGCGTGGTTGTACTGCAGCACCTGGGGGTGCTTCTTGCTCATGGCCAGCACGTCCTCGCAGGACAGACCGTAGCTGAAGAAGAGGCCCACCACCCTCTGCATGTTCTCGCAGCTCGTCCTGGTCGTCGCGCCCACCGCCCACGCCAGCTCCCGCGTCCGGTGCTTGTACCCGATCTTCACCAGGAAGGTCAGCTTCTTGGAGAGGTTCCCCTTGAAGGACAGGCTCACGTACAGGGGAGCCTTCACCAGGAACCTGAAGATGTCCTCTGCGTCCATGCCGCACTGCCTCAGGAACTCGACCCGAGGCCCCAGCTTCCTCTCCTTGCTGACGCTGAAGATGTTAGGGTACACCAGCGCTATCTTGAAGAGCTCCTCGTCGGAGAGACCCACGGATCTCCAGAACTCCAGATGGGACTCGAAGTGCTCGACGGTGTAGGATAAGAGGGCGGGCAATTTGGCGATCAAGGCCGCCGCGGCTGCCTCATCTCCGCCCCCGAGTTCGGCGAGGAACTCGACTCTCGGGATCAGCTGGTCGTGGAGGTCCAGATTCAGAATCATCGGCCGACGGATGACCAAGTCCGGCCAGCTGAACCGCTTCAGGAAAAGGATCATCTCCTCCAAATCTTTCAGGGGCCTTTCACAGAACACCTTCCTTATGTGCACATGGTTGAGGAGATGCCCCAACTTCTCGCCGGGGACGCCGTGCTCCATGAGCCGCGTGACCCTCGCAGCGATGCCGGTCAAGAACTCGGGATGGGTCGTGGTCAGAAGACGCTCCAGCTTGGCCGGTTTAAGCCCCTTCAACTCGTCGCGAACGAACTCGAGGAACGGCCCGAGCTCGGGAGCCGACAGGATCTCGGGGCGCCGGGCCACGGTCCGGCGGAGCGAGAGGTCATCGATTCCGACGGACTGTAAGGCGAGGACACGGCTGCGAAGAGACTCCGGAGGCACGAGTTCCAGCTCCGGGTGCTGCAGGAAGAGAGCCTCGGCTTCCTTCTCGTCCAGATGCAGCTCTTGCAGGGACCAAAACGCTGGTCCAGAAACGATTACAGGTCAGCTAAGGTTCAAAGATCGGAGACGAGTGCGAGAGACTTCTCGGCCTCTTACCAGAGGGCGAGACATTAGGGGCCGTACGAGTGGCGCAGAGATGGCGACGGGGCCTCGTCGCGAGGGACGTCGGAAGGCGGAGAGGAGCGCCGTGGAGAGAGGAGAAGCGGAGCGGAGAGAAGGGCGATGTCGTGGGGGCGAAGCACAAGGCGGAGAGAGTCATCTCTCCTCCACGCCGGTGCTCGAAGAGGCGCTCGAAATCGCTCGTGCTGATGTCAGGGAGTACAGAACCCCGACAAACCGATCAAGACGCATGAAAGACATGCCAGGGCTGAATCACCCAGGATTCCCTTCGGGGGCGATGGTGACACCACGTCACCCCTAAAAGATCTCGGGGTGATTCAGCAGAAAAGTCAAAGTGAAAGACATCGGTTTGACTGGGTCAAATCCGGACTGGTCTCGAATTCGTCCCACGCGGGTTTGCCGGAGTCCGCACGCACCTCTCAACCTTCTCCGTACCCAATTAGACTTCCTAATCCTACTCGAGGAGAAGGCACAGAAGAAGCAAACACCTTCGCTGCGTCCTCGCCAATAAAGCCAAAGCCGCCTGGTTCTCCGTCAGCCCTCGACACACGCAGCACTTCCTCACCTTCTGTTACTTTCCTTGCCACCAGAACTCCATGGCCGCTCCGAGAACGCAGTGGGTCACCTCTCTCCTCGTCCGGAGATGGAAGAAGGATAAGGAAGAGGAGGCCAAGGTCGAGATCAACAAGTCCGGCCTCGCAGAGAAGGCAAACAACTTGCAGCAGGAGGAGCAGCAGCAGGAGTGGAGGCGGCCACGGTTTGCTGTGGAATTGGACGGGCTTAACTGCTTCGAGACCATCGTTCTCCAGTGAATCGCTGTTACCTATATCTATATATATATACGGTGTTTCTCTTGGTTAGATTAGAAGATGGATGCATGAGAACATCCTGCGTTCTTTCTCTTCTGCCTTTTGTTTAGACTCATGACAGTGGAGGGGTAGGAATTAGAACCCGTTAATTGTTCTGATGCATCAAATTAAAGGCTATTATTATTCTCCATATATGAATCTTGTACAGTGTTCATCCTGGTGCAATCATGCAGCTTTCTTCTTCTTCTTCTTCTTCTTCTTCTTCTTCTTCTTCTTCTTCATTCATTAGGGACTGCATGGCTGATGACGAATGAAGACGACGGAGACAAAACTCCATGAATAAAGCGTCAGGCGCATGCATGTTACCTGTTGCTGTTGTAAGAGTCTAAAAGAAGATGTCAAAGGAACGCAGCATAAAGACGAGGCAAAGACGACGGGTTCCATGCATGCATCCTCCGGTGCTACGGATCTAAAACAAATCCCCAAAGAAAGACGGCACCGTCTTTGAGTCGTACCATCACAGATGTTATCCACCTTTTGACTTTGTGCTGTTTCTTAGTCAAACAAACGATCCTCCGATCCCTCTTGATTAGGTAGGTTGCACGAATTCTCATTGTCTGATGAGATTACTGACTCCTAAATTAAGTTGATGAAACTCTTTTAACCTTATTTATAATCATATAATATCATTTTATAGACTTTCTCTCTCTCCCTCTCGGAATATTAAGATGGATACATAAAAAGAAAAATAAAAAAATTTCATTCATAAATAACTAACTACATATCTCACAAATAAATAAAATGTGAGAGACTCATTTGACATGATATGAATATATTCTAATAAGATGATTAATTTATCATCATTAGTACAATAAGAAGTAGAGAGAGAGAGAACTAAGAAAATATCATTAGAAATTAAAAATAAAAATTTAGTCAACTATATATGTTCAAGCAATGTTCTTTCTTTAGTCAAAAAATTAAGAAAATTTGTAAAATGTATCAAAATATCAACTATATATGTACCTATAGTTTCAGGAATGTCTTCTAAGTTCTTTAATGTGTTTTGAGACTCCTCTGTAATTTAAGAAGCATCCGAGATTAGTCTCCTCTTGCAGAGCTAATTATATATTACTTAAACCCTATTAGTATCATAAAATTTATATTTAAAAATTTTATATAAATTTTTTTATAATTTTAAAAAATAAAATAAATAATTTTATTTATCTTAACGTCGTCTGTCTATTGATACGATCAATACAAAAATGAAAAGTAAAAAATAATTTCAATATCCCTTCAGTTTTTAATAACTTTATTGATAAAACAGTAATTTCAATATTGTTTTTGTTTGTCACTTTCGTATCAATCTAATACATGATGTCACATGTTATATTTTTCGTCAATGCAGCTACAACAAATAAAATTATTTATTTTACTTTCAAAATTATAAAGATCTCAACTTAATTTTTTTTAAGTATAAAAACCATAATATTAATATGATCCAAATGTAAAAGATAATATATAATTAACTAAAAACGGTGTGGTGATGATGAATTATCACTCAAAAAAAAAAAAAAGAGGGGCAAAAGAGAGATTGGACATCTCTCAAAATAGTATGTAGAACAGGATCTAAAGAAGGTAGATCACCTCCCAAACAAATGAGGTGAAGAACCTCTCCAAGAAAAAGTATTCTGTCTCCCATAGAATTGTGAGCTGCAGTGTAGCTCTGGCTCTGTTTTCTCTTTCTAGCTCTGCTGTAGCAACTAAGAACTTGTTCCATGTTTTGCAGAACATGTTTCATGTTCTTTGGCTCTGCATCAACCGAAGGAAGAAGGCCAAAGATGTGAAAGATGGTGGACCAAATTAAATAAAAAAGTATGGAAAATAAATAAACATTTATTTCCTGACTCAAATCTCTAAATTTCTTTTCCATCATAGTTTTTGTTCTACAGATGTCCAGTCCAAAGCCTGGCATTATCCTCAATTCAAGTTCCTTGAAGATAAGTGGCATGGTGGAAGGTAACAGAGAATAAATGTGCAGCATCTTATCTCTTGCAGCCACATAAAGATTGATGATGATGACATTGATCTTATCCACCTAATATGCCAGTGAAAATTGGAGGACAGAAGAATCAAGACAATTGCTATTGTCTACAAAATAATTAATTTTGTTTTGAATTTATCCCTAAGATTTTGAATTTTGTAACATCTAAAATATCTCAATTGTTAGTTAAAAATTAATATCTGTTATGTTAATTTCATATAATAATTCAAAATAATATTAAGACAATTAAGAATTATATATATATATATATATATATATATATATATTATATTGCTACCTATATAAAAGAAGACCACATTAATGGAACATTGAAACAACTGATGATCTATTTGCAGGAAATTCTTCTCATGGAAATGAACATCCTATTTGGCATTTGTAGAGATTTCAAGGAGATTGTGAAATGCCACCAACACAATGGAACAGAAGAAATAGTTGGGATTGTGGACCACAGCCAATCCATTTGCAATCCAATCCAATTTGTCATCTGAGATTCTCTATCATGTTCTATTATATCATATCTCAAATACCTCATCAGTAACCATCAATGCAAGTAAAATATTTTCATTCTCTCTATCTTCACATCACCACCTCCACAATCACACACCACTACTTTCAGATAGACTAGTGCTCAGTCACTAGTTATCCTGACCTATCAGATAAGAGTAGTGTTCAGGTATTGATTTTTCCTGAAAGTAGAACAGTGGAAATTAATGAATCCTATATGCAGGTAATTTCAGATGAGTAAGATGTTGATTAGAAGCCAAAAGATGTATCAATAAGCAATTACCACGAACAAATTGAACTGTTTCTAAAATAGTAATAGAACCAAAAGGAAGTGTTTTAGTGGATCAGGATGAGACTCATCTTGGAACAAATCCAGCCTCTTTCTTATTCTTCCATAATATAATGCTAAAGATTCACAAAGATGTAACCATCCAGTGTTTTTGTTTCAGCACATCACCAATATGGCAGTGTTTCTATTGCAAGAAAATTCTTAACCCCATCTTAAGAGGGATGAGATATATTGATCAGCAAATGTCAGCTTTCTACAACGATACTGCACATTACAATCAGTGGGATGAGTGAAAAACAGCAAACATAAGAATAACCTTATCATACATACCACATAACATGAGATTTGGATGATAAATAATGTTTAATTCAGTTAATGGAGAAAACTGAGACTATCATAGTCTCACACATTAGGAGTTCTAGTCACATGTTCGTATCAAATGAAGCTAGAGACTGCTTAAGACAAGAAAATGTAAACAAAAAAGAGAGAGATTAGGATGCCAAAAGAAAAAACAGTTTATAGTGAAGAACATATTTTTTAATCAAACTGATATCTGCCAAAATACCATAAGTAGCAACCCAAGGTGTAGATAGCGTGTTAAAACCTTCAACTTAGACCTGAGCAGTGCCCTCTGTAAATTTAGGATCCTCGCACCTGTACTTCCCATCAGGGCCAATCCCAAATCCCTTGGGATCGGCAAAAACATTTTCCAATAGCTGGCTTCTTGGAGGAGGTGGACTTGAATCTGCAAACTCCACAGAATCTTCAATAAGCTCATCAATTTTTTTCTCTATAGCCTTCAGTTCTGTTTCACTTGCAAGGCTGTTTTCAAGAATGTACTTCTTCAAGGTTATGATAGGATCTCTTGCAGCATAATGTGCCTTCTCATCTGTCGAAAATGAGAAGCGTTTAGTAATCTATATTGCACTATAGTATGGCAATATGTTCCTTAATATCCCTTTTGATATTGCAAAAGAAGTTGGCTTACAATATATTTCTACATTTAGATATCAGTGTGATGTATGTGGATGTGCATATCATTTTACTTGAAGTATCCAAGTCCAGGGATGACAGAAAGTTACTAGAACAAATCCTAAAGAACCTAATTAGATGATAAAAGAAGTTAACTATGTATGAAACTTATTTAAACTTTTTGAAATGATGCACAAATGCATAATTAGTCTTCAAATATTTAGGATGAAAAAGAACAAGCAACAAAGTCTAAATAAATCAAAGCCATAAGGTCATTAAAAGTGCGTACGTAAGGTCTGTAACTAAACACATATTTCACTAGAAGTGCAACATGAAGTGTTTTAGTTTCTAGATTACTCGGACACCAAGTGAGAAATTCAGTGATCTTGATCTAAAATAGTTATAAAATAACAAAGCATTCAAACACATTACTACCAGAATGTGGCTTGTGTGAATAAAATCTTCTTCCGATAGAGTAGAATAATGGATATCTATAAAATACTATAATTTAAATTCTTCAGTGTGACATACTGAGAGCTTATGACGTCGCTCTTCAGCACCACTGAAACATGAACAATAAATTTCATAGTTGTCATAGTAATGCATCATAACAAATGAACAAATTGAGCCCAACTCAAAGGAGACAATGTGAAAAAAGAAAAAGAAATACACCAAGAAGAAACGAGAGCAACTGACATTAATGCAGAAGCCTGATTAGAAGAAACAAGAGCAGCTAACATTGATGCACATTTTAGAGAAAAACAATTCAAATCACATATTAACATAAACAACACAAACAATGTGATAGAAACCAAAAAGGAAATATTTTAAAAATGTAATGATTCATGTAAGTAAAAATATATTGATCATGTGATCAAAATATTCCTTACAACATTATTGTTGTCTAACATACCAGAAGGAACGACAAGACATATCAAACAAATCCACCAAAACTTTTACTACTGAATTCCAAACAACTCCTTTTAAGAAATCAGGCTACACCTGTCAGTAGACAGTGTGCATCAAAATTTTTAAGATGCCATTCTCCAAATACCGTCACATTTATAATTACTAAAAATCAATCAGCAATGGCAACCGACAACTTCAAAGTCAATTTAACCTCACAGCATTATTGTGTTTGAGTATTTGAGTTATTAGAATACCAAATGTCATGTAAGATCGTTTATTCAATAATGAATTTCCAATTATGATGTTTGTTGCAAAAACTTTTATGTCATCTTTTATGCAATTCCTGTGAAACCCTACCATTTCTTATTCGGTTGAGACTGTCCGATAACATCTCACAAATACAAAATTAGCATGTGTACTGTGCACTAACTCTTGTAGCCAAGTCAATGAACAAATCAAAAGAGTAATATTTCAATCTCACCAGGCTTCCGGAGCTCATCAGGATCCGCGAGTGAGTGCCCTCTAAAACGGTATGTCTCACACTCAACAAGCGTGGGTCCTTCCCCGCTTCTTGCCCTTCCAATTGCTTCCACTGCCACCTCCCGAACCTTCAGTACATCCATCCCATCCACGTGCACCCCAGGCATGCCGAATGCCGGTCCCTTCTTCCAGATCTCAGGGTCCGAAGTTGCTCTGAGGTGAGACATCCCGATTGCCCACAGATTATTCTCCACAACAAACACGATGGGCAGCTTCCAGAGCTGAGCCATGTTGAGGCACTCAAAGAACTGACCATTGTTGCAGGTCCCATCACCAAAGAAGGCCACAGTGACATCAAGGCCATTAGGGTTGGACTCCTTAAGGACCTCGTGGCGGTACTTGGAAGAGAAAGCAGCACCAGTAGCCACCGGGATGCCTTCACCTATGAAAGCGAAGCCACCGAGGAGGTTATGTGGTGCAGAGAACATGTGCATGGAGCCACCCTGGCCGCGACAGCAGCCAGTGGCCTTGCCGAAGAGCTCAGCCATGACTGCGCGGGCGGGGACACCCTTGCTGAGTGCATGGACGTGATCTCGATACGTGCTAACGACGCTATCCCGGGTTTCAAGGAGCTTAATGAAGCCAGTGGAAACGGCCTCCTGGCCATTGTAGAGGTGGACGAAGCCGAACATCTTGCCGCGGTAGTACATCTGCGCGCACATGTCCTCAAAGACGCGCCCCAAGACCATGTCCTCATACAGCACTAACGCCTCCTCCCGGCTTACTACCGCCTGCAATCGAGATCAAACAGAATTAGATCCATACAAAACCCTCAAAAAGATGAAGTTTTGCCAGCCGTGTCATAACCGAATCGTGCAAAAGACCAATTTTGAGAGGCTTTTATCCCGAAAGATTTCATTTTTATAGGAGTTTCTTCCAACAAAAGAGGGCTTTTTGGGGAATGGGAACACACATGGTGGGAGGGTGAGGAGTTGGAGCCGAGGGACTTCTGGCCGCTGAGGACATCGGAGGAGACGGCGAGGAGAGGGCGGCCCAGGCGAGTCGACCTGACGTGCGTGCGGTGAAGGCCGTGCCCGGCCGGGCACGAAACGAAGGGAGCGCAGGGCTTCTCGCCTGCGGATCGAGCTCCCACGAGAACAGGAGAGGGAATCCTGACGGCGGCGAAGGCAGACATTTTGATGAGATCTTGCGAGAGAGAGACGAGGAGGGGAATGAAGACGGGGCGGAGAGAACGAGGATGGATTGGCGTTAGAAGTATCGCTATAGGGAGTTGGGCAGCGTTGAGCGGACGATTGGGAAAGGTTAGAGAAATGGACCGAGGAGGAGAGGCGGGTGTGTGAGTGGGTATGTAAGGGAACTCTCTGGTGTTAGAGAGAGAGAGAGAGAGAGAGAGAGGAGGGGCCCAGGGAAAGTGTGCGTGGAGAAGTGACTGATGGACCGAAGAGAAGAGGTGCTGCGTTGTGTTTGGGTGAGAAAAAAGGGTATGTGATGTCATAAAACTATTGAATTAAAAGTGGTGACTCTAATAATTTTCTTTTGGCATTTGATTTCTGAAATTTGAGATAATTGTTTCCAAATTTCTTTCAGTTTTCTTTTGTAATTAATTCAATCTTTGCTATTAAAAGTGCTATATTACATGTAATTTTGCTAAGAATATTTGGAGGATTATTGAGAGAGGTTTGGAGTTAAAGTTGGAAGGCCGACTTCCTCAAAAAGTTTTCGTTTTTCGTTTTTGCTCAAAAGATATTTTTGTTTTTTTGTTTTTTCCAAATGGTGTGTTTTGAATATTATTCAAAATATGTCCTTTATAATATTTTTTTTATCACCACAATAGAAATACTATAAAATTCACTTGAGAATATTATAAATGGTAATATAAATGGACTCATAATCTTAGTCAATCTAATTTAAAGTCTAAAAATTTGATATGATTTATAATGTTTTCAGCCCCTTAATAATGGTAAGCGAAATATAATCAAGATATATTAAAAATCATTTGATATATTATGATTCAAATAAAATAAATATTTATAATAGTTTAAAAAATATATTACTCAAATAAAAATAAAAATTTATTATTTTGGTCATGATAAAGATATTGTAAAACCTATTTGAAAACACGATAAATAATCTGAATGAACTCCTTGTCTCAACTAAATAATATGACAACCAAAGATATATAGTATGATGTCACTTATAGTATTTTTTAACGATCTTATATTATTTTTAGTGTCTTAATAAAAGTTTATAATAATTTAAAAATATTATAAATGAGTTAAATAAAAATATTGTAATGACGGTTGGAAAAAGTATAAAAAATTAATAAAAAAATATAGGTGTCGAGTATTTTGGATAACATTATAAAGAGGAGCATCAAATTGAAAAATATAAAAACTAGAGATATATTTTATAAAAAAGGAAAAAGATGGGAAATTGCCTAAGTTTGAATTACTTTACCCTTTACTATTATGGAAATAGGGAATAACTTAAATAAAAAGATAATGAGGTACAAAGCTTAGATCTCAAGCGTCATTACAACCAATAATTTCTAATTCATTTGGAAGGTTAGAAATCACACGTAATAAGAGTACTAGCAAATACTAGTATGTATTCTATATATCATAAATACGAGGGGATAAGACTTTAAAATACAATATGCATCAAATGATAAATACCTCTGAATCAATGAATTAATTATATGTTGAGGACTTAGCTGCATACTCACTCAAAATGATATACGAACATGTTTACGAGGATATTGATATGCATGAGGGAGAGACATACAAAACTTATATACACACGAGATTGTGATGACTTAGTGATAGGGAAAACACGAGGTCATTCAATATATGATCACCATGTGATATCGAAGGTGGAAGTAGAAGATGGAGTCTATCCTCCATTTTTTATCCTCATGGATAGGAGTCCAAAGCAAGTGATTATAGGTTGTCATCCTCTTGTTATCCATATGGACAGGAGGCTAAATGAGAGACTCTTTAAGATAGTTAATGGTTGTCTTTAATATTTTATGAAATATTCTATCCCTTTCCGATTAAATATAAATACTCATCTTCAATACAAAAAGATGAGTTATCTTCTTTGACCACTTGTATTCATACTCATATACCTTACATCGCACTAATAACTTGGGCATCGAAGGGATTAGATCGAGAAACCTCTTTTATTCTCAGTCTTTATGTAGATGACATCTTTAGAGCTCGATATTTTCATCTCGGAGATATCTCAAACAATCTTACGTATATGGGTCTAGACCCAATCGCACTGATTAGGATGTGAACGATTTCTTTCCCTATTAACAAGGTAGCTATTTAGATAATAAAAAAAATATTATAGTAAACATATAGATTTTACATAGAAAATTTATAAACTATACAATATTTTCATCCGATATTGTAGTAAACTAGAAGTCACCAATATACGATATTTTTATACGGACGTTATCAAATCTTTTCTTTCATTTAGTCAGATGGATTCGTTAGATTCTTTTCCTATTTTTTATGCCTTAATATTAATTTCATGACGCAATTAATATGCTAAGTATGAAAATATAATATGATTATATCATATGAGGCCCAATGGATCGTATGGTTCGGTCTTTGCTACCAATTGAGGACCATAAATCCAACGGTGCGCAGAGCACCATCAAGCATCATCAGAACCGCACAAATTAGGGCGCCGCCTCCGTCGTCTCACTACTATAAATGGCCCTCGTTCGCGGTCGAGCCCCTAAATCCTCCCCCCTTCTCGCGCTCCCCGTATCGCCCTCCTTCAGCCTATTGCTTCGCCGCCGAGATGGGACGCGTGATCCGAGCACAGAGGAAGGGAGCCGGGTCGGTTTTCCGCTCCCACACGCACCACCGCAAGGGGCCCGCGCGGTTCCGGAGCCTCGACTTCGGGGAGCGCAATGGCTACCTTAAGGGCGTGATCACCGAGATCTTGCACGACCCTGGCCGTGGCGCCCCTCTTGCCCGCGTCACCTTCCGCCATCCCTTCCGGTACAAGCTCCAGAAGGAGCTCTTCATCGCCGCCGAAGGGATGTACACCGGCCAGTTCGTCTATTGTGGCCGCAAGGCCTCCCTTATGGTCGGCAACGTCCTTCCCCTCCGCTCCATTCCTGAGGGTGCCGTCGTCTGCAACGTCGAACACCACGTTGGCGACCGCGGTGTTCTAGCCCGCGCCTCCGGCGACTACGCGATCGTCATCAGTCACAACCCTGACAACGGCACCTCCAGGTCCTCTTTTTTCCTTGCTACTGTTTTCTTTTGTCAAGTATACTTGGGATCTGAAGTCGTGAAAAATAAATTTCTTTTTTCCCAATCGACGATGATTCTACTCTTGTTTCTGTTTCGTTGTGCCGAGTCAAGCGATCTAGATCCATCCTAAGATGTTTTCAGCTCGATGTTGCTTATTTATCTGAATTTTCACGATAGAATATTCTACCGGTGGCGTTTCTGCATCTCACTACTGGAGTTGGATAAGTACATCATTTTCTGGTGTTTATTCCTATGGTGATATTTGGATATTTTGATTTGCTCTGTTGAATATTGCCTTCTGATATCAGTCAGATCCGTCTGAAAAGAAACTTTTTGCTTCTTATTGTACGAGGAATAGTAAAACTTTGTTTGTCTTATCATTCTGCCCAGTGATGAAACAAACAAATAACGAACTGTTCTATTTTTTTTCTGTTAAATCAGACTGAAACGAGTAATTATAATTCCGTAAGGTTTAACATGGGATGCTTACAACCCTATTATAGGTTAGGAAGTGGGGTTCTCTTTTTGGCATTCATTTAAAGTCTAGACCGCCTTCTACTTGCTTGTCAACCATAGAAGCTACTTTGATTTGTGCATTATATGTTTCTGAGGGAGTGTTTTGGCATTTAACTGTTTTGTCGAGGCTATTGACATGTTGATGATAGGGAATTGCTGATATGTTAGCATAGGCTAGAGACACGTTGATGATAGATAGCTTGTTATATCTTAATTATCATATGTTATAATACTTTGTGAATTTAATATTCAACTTTTTAAGCCTTTTCAGTAGCTGCACTAAAAAAAAATCATTTCTGCGTGTCTAAAGTATTGTTATTTAGTATTAAGCTTGCTGGATTTTAGTAGAACTGACTTCATCCCATGACATTGACCACCCATTTTGTTTCATCTTAGTAAGAAATATCAAGGCAAAACTTATTCCTTCTCAAGATCTTGAATGTAAAGATTGAGTGCATGCTTTTTAAAATGTGTCTTGGAACTTGCAAGTTCTAAAGTTTGCAAGGCAATTGACTGCCTCCTTTTAATCATCATCTGACAAAAAAATAGTCTTAATTTTCACAATTTGAATGCTCTTTTTTACTTTGAAATTAATTTTGTTTCATCAGTATATTGTTTCTTCTACACATCCTATGATAACAGTTTGGTTGAAAATAAATTCTTTTTGAAGTTTTTATTTGTGTTGTAACTTTCGATCTGAATATTTTGGACATGAGTGTAGTAGCATATAATTGATTTATTTGCTAGGTGCTGATTGTGCCACATTCATTTGCTTGGCCTTCATTGTCTAATGTTACCATCAGCCTGTGATCATTAAACTCTTTTCCTCTTGAATTCTGACTTGTCATTCCAAATACTGCATTCAGTTTGCATTAAACATATTTCCTAGCCAGTGGAAATTCCATTGACTTGTCGGTCTAAATATTGCAACCAGTTTGCATCAGACATACATCCTAGCCGTTGGAAACTGCATCCCTTATTTGGCAGATAGCTTTATACTAGTGTATCTCAGAAGAATACAAATTTCTAATATTAGCTCTTTCTTTGGCTTGAACATGTATACGATCAATATAAAAAGCAACTATAAGGTTGAGATCGAAATCTTAATGCAGTTTTTCTGCCTAGGCACCTCTTTGTGATCCTTGAGTTCATCAGCCAACTTGTCCGATGAGATTTTTTTTTCTGGTTTTTGGTTGCAGGATCAAGCTCCCATCTGGAGCAAAGAAGATCGTTCCGAGCAATTGTCGTGCCATGATCGGACAAGTTGCTGGTGGTGGTAGAACTGAGAAGCCCCTACTTAAGGCTGGCAATGCCTACCACAAGTTCAGAGTGAAGAGGAACTGTTGGCCAAAGGTCCGAGGTGTGGCTATGAACCCTGTGGAGCATCCCCACGGAGGAGGAAACCACCAGCACATTGGACATGCCTCCACCGTCCGCCGTGATGCTCCTCCTGGGCAGAAGGTCGGTCTCATTGCTGCAAGGAGGACTGGTCGTCTCAGGGGACAGGCTGCTGCCACTGCTGCCAAGGCAGAGAAGACCTCTTAGATTGCTTAGTGGAACAGTGTCTGGTATATTGGTTTCTGATGAGCTCAGTTTGTCATTTGAGTATTATGGTGACTTTCTTGTCATTTATTATGTTGGAGGACCATTATGGATTTCGAGATATTTTATTTTACCTTTTCCTGTTATGGATTCGATATTGTTGAAATCCTCTTGTTGATGGCAACATCTTAATTGTTACCACTCTTTTTATATTGTTTGAGATCCACAGATGAAAACATTATCTGCAATGACTGGACTGGCCTGTTGTGAACAAAAGCCTATTATAACACAGTGTGGTAAATTGTACTGTGTTTTAAGGAAGAAATGCTCCTCATTTTGGAATCTTGATTGATAATTAAGATGAGGTTAACAACATTCTAGAAAATGAAATTTCATTAGGAAGAAAGGTTTTAAAAGTGTTCTACAAACTACTACACAAACAGTTGATAAAAAGAACTTGTAAACTCATTTTATTATTTACAAATAAAGTTTCTTTTGTCTTCTTCTATTTCTCCTTGCAGTATTAATTTCAATTGACTTACCTTATTTAATAACTTCTACAAATAAATATTGAATGCTCTTAATTTAATTAAAAATATTATCTTCCATAAGCCTAAAAAGACCCATCCAATGAAATGTTATGGCTTATTGCCATTGTTGAACCATACCACTTAGATTTGTATACTTCAATATGTTTGTATTGTGATGGACATCACCTATATGCTGTGCATTCAAGTTTCTGGGGAAGAAAGAGGAATCCCTTTCCAATATCCCTTCAGAAGTGATGAGTTGATCTCCCTTTGAATCAAAGGTGTTCCATAAATCAAACCACATTGCCAAAGCATTTGGTCCCCATACATCAAAATTACAGCATAGCAGAAGAGTGAGGGCAGGTTCCTCAAAACTGTTTTTATTCAGTAGAGAGAGAGTTCAACTGATACATAGTAAACTAATCTCATCTACCTTCAGTTCATACTGCAGTGGCCAACAAGCATTCCACACTCATTATATTGCACCTTTTTCTACAAAGAAAATCCATGATATTTCTCATTCTTTATTTTTCAGAGTATAACTCTAATTAATACATACATCATTTCTAAGTCTACAAGACATTTGTTGATAGACACACCCAAGCTATTACAATAAAATTCTTAGTCATAATAGATGAGTACTTCTTTCATTAGTATGTAATCTCATCTCATTCCGTCGAAAAATTATAATTATTTCTTCGAGAAGAAAACTATTTCTCTTGTGAAACTCTTTAATCATGAGAGATAACATATCAATCAAGATGTTCAACAAATTTTGTTTGTTGATAGACACACTTTGTACTCCAAGATAATCATTATAATATTTGATAAAAAAATTAAAATCTTCATCTTTATATATATTAATTTTTTTATTAAATCTTTTTTCACACATCGTCGAGGATAAAGATGTCTGAATCTATAGTCGATATTTATTATATTCATTTTAATTCGATTTTTTTATTGTAAACTACCGACTTTTCCAATACCTCACATGCCAATTTGAACACGATCTCCGGATCCAACCAGCTCGTCCCTGAATTCTTGATGAGCTTGAGACATGTTGGCCAAAATGGCTTGCTGCACTTCCAACAACTTCCTCCTGTTCTTGTTGTTGTTGTTGGTCTTCCTTCCTGCACAGCAGCAACATCAGAAGCATTCTCTTCTCTGTTAGTTCCATCAGCCATCTTGAAATCAAAAAGCATCAGCTAAGCTTACGGTGGTGAGTAAATGAATACCTTTGCCTTGTTGCTGAGCATCTCTAGCGGAGCATCCCTTCTCAGCATCCTCCTCTTCTTCTTCCTTGATCTATACCCCTCTCTATACCATAGCTTTAATGGCGTTGGTGTGTGACAATAGGGCGAGACTGACGCAAGCCCGCAACAGACGTAAAGAAGGGAATAAATAAAGAAAAAGACTGCTATTGGATTCTCTTTCTCGTGGTGGGGATAGCTTGAGGAAAACGCAAGTTTGTTCCTCCTTGCGGTGGTGACAGATGTGGAGTGGCAGAAGACAAACGAAGCTAAAGGATTCCGAGAGAGGTAATGGTTTCTTTCACTCTACTCGTGCTCTGTCCAATGCGCAGCAGGTGTTCGACGAAATTGCTAGGAAAGTCCAGTATAATGTTTTCTTGCCCGACCCTGCAACAAGGACAAGCGCATTCTGTGCCTTGAGCCGTACTGGGTTCCTGCGGAGTTTGCCCGAGGCGGGCTGAGTCATGGGCTCTGAGTCGGCCCAATAAGAAGCATGCTCGATTCCATATGACGCTATCGCACGTGCGACCGGCATGCCCAACCTCGCGGAACTCCGATGGGCGCCTCCGAATCCCTTCTCCCCGTACACCACCACCAGGTTTCCTCACCCTCTTCCCTTCCGTTCTTGCAATTGGCTCCTATTCTTGATGCTTTAGGTTCGATTTTTCTCGTCCGCAGCGGATCGATGAAATCACCACCGTCTCCCAAAGGATCGAGGGCGTGGATCCCCTCGTCGAGCGCGTCGAGGCGCTCAAGATCGTGAGACCGTGCCCTCTTCTCCCCCTTCCTGCTTCGATTTCCTTCCTTAGATCAACCTTTTTGTCGACGCTGATCGTTTCAGGCCACGCCGCTGCTGACCTCCCCGCCTCCGTCCGAGTCCAGCTTATCCGACATTCTTGTCAGGAAACCCTCATCGTCCTCGTCTTCCACCTCTACTTCAGGTGACCTTTTTGGTTCTTTTAGTAGATTACTACTTGCATTCGGAAGGGTTGGCACAGGTTCATAGTTCATATTAGCTGAAAAGATATCAATTTTCACTATAAATATAGCATGCTTAGCTGCTCTTGGGTTGGACTTTTTATCGTATACTCGTTGAATTTCTCAATACTAGGTACTTTAAATCCCAATGTTCTGTTGGAGCTCTTTTCTATGTATCGCGAGTGGCAGGAAGAGAAGGCCAAGAAGATTAGTAGAAAACAGGTGCTGTCATGTATAATGTTACTACTGCATGATTACATTGGATTCAGAATGTTTATCCTGACAATGACACTGTTCGACATCTTATTATTGCGTCTAGATACTTCTGGAGTAGGATTAGATGCAGCTACCATTTATTTAATTTTCTATATGTGCATCTGCTGATATGCATGCTTTGCGAGCTAAGCTAGTCTTTTATCTAAAGAATTCGGAGCACAACATTTGTATTGACATGTCCTTCCTATAAAATCTCCCGTTAGTAATCTCATGAGAGCATTCTTGATTTAGATTGTCCTGCATCTCGAAAATCTAGATTGTTAAGGAATACCCTCTAGCCTTCTTTGTCATGGCCTATGGCCACTACAGGTGTCATATAACTTTGTGATGCATTTTGGTCTTAAATTTTGAAAATCTGCACATTGCAGAACTTCAGTACTATGCGAGAGTTTTTAGTGACAATAAAACGTTCTTCTTGATTGAGCATGAAGAAGAATATAGGCTTAACATTTTTGACTGATCCAGTCTAGGATCAATAGTTGGTGCTGTGTAATCTTCATATTTGGGGAGTAACAATTGAGCTTCAATATGGTGCCAGTTACTGGTGGGCAGGAGAAAGGGAATAGAATGGTCTGCAAGTGTGTGCCAAATCGTGCATAAGGGTGGAAGCATGTGAGGAAAAAGAAGGGGAAAAGATATTTCTTACTACATAACTGCAACCTGAACACTCCTTGTCTGTAGTTTCTGAACCAGTCTATTATGCAAACCATAGACTTTGTGATTCTCTCTCTGTTTTGGCAACTTCATCAGATAAGCTGATGACATATTTAGGCGAGTGTCACTTAAGTCAATGCTGCCGGTATAGCTGGTTCCTGAACCATTGTTCATGAATATGTTCCGGCTTTGTGAAATGCATCTAGTTCTTACTTTGTAAGGCTCAGCCAAATGATTATTCCTGAAGATAATAGAATTGCAGAAAGGTGGTAGATCTACCAAAAGAATTAAGTTCATGTCATACATAGTGCTAGCAATCATGCAGAATTAAGGTGCATTAAATTGTGATGCCTTTGGTTTATCCATGGAATTTATCCAGTATATTTCCTAAATGCTTCTTGTTACTCTGTTGTGCTTCTGTAGTGATTGATTTCGATGCTTACATAATTTAACCTTATAGCCAAATTTGTAGGTCAAGAAATCCTTTTTTATTAATGTCATAAGAGAATCTTCATCGCGAAGGTGAAATATAGAAATATGTTCAGGATCTGACTATAAAATGCTGCAGGAGGAGATTGAAAACAAGATAGAAACTGCTGATGCTTTGGCTGTTAAGCTTTTTCAGCGGTTCAATTATTCAGTTTCAGCCATGAGATCAACCACTCAGAGTCTTGCTGAAGGTGAGTTTCTCCACTTCCCTGATTATCTTGCTGAAAAAGATTTACCTACGATAAAATCTGATTCTTTAATGATCAATCTGTAATTTTCACATTTTTGTTGCAATGTACACAATGATACATGTTTGACTCCATTATTTCCCTAAGAAGAAGAGGAAAGATCAACTGCTTTTCCAGCCTTTTTTTTTTCTTTCGTTGATGGTTTGGTGAACATTGCAGTGCAGCAATTACAGGTCGAAGTTGGTGAACTTAAAGGCAGGCTTACGGAGGTGATTAGCAATTGCGATATGCTATGCAAAAGAATTGCAGCAGAAGGACCAGAGTCCCTTCGTTCTTCTCTCAATCCAATCTCCACAAGCAATGCCGAAATACCATCCATTTGTTACTTAAATAACAAGGTTCCTGAATAAATAAGCTTGCAGTTTACATAGGATTTTGTATAATCTTCCCAAGTTCAACATTCCTGTACTCATGATGTAAGGTAGACTGTAATCCACCGCTGGGACATACACTGTTAAGTCGAGTGATCTTGCAGAAACAAATCAAATCAAGATTATATAGTTTCCTGAGACCGATTGTGGGTACTTCACTAGATTCAGTGACAGCCCTCCATATATATAGATAACCATATAATTTTTGAATTGCTTTTGAAGAACTGTGCTAATGCTATGCTAAATTGAGACGTAAGTCAAACTTGCAGGTTCAGCAGGTCTCCCATCTTCGCACATTGGTACGTTGTTTCATGTATGACATGTAATGCTGTTAATGCTGGAAATGGACAAATTGAAGTTTGAAGATCGATGTACATCAGCTGTACTATTTCTAATGCCCATCTAATTATTAGAATCATTCAATGGTTGCAGTCTCTTGCAGGTTGTTGAACCCAACACAGTCAATGCAATTCTATCTGCACATGCTCACTGGATCAGAGTCTACCTCGACAGACATCAGTTTACTTATTAATCTTTGCAGAAGGTTGGCCATTGCTCTTCACCTCAGCATTCTGGTAACAACGATCTCATCCAAGTTCATGACATAACAATGTCTATCTTATACATCCAAGTCTAGTCTTTCATATAAAATGCTTGCACAAACAAACTCCAGAATTGTAATATACTCTTCCTGACCTTCACAAGATGTACAACATTTGATACCTAAAACAGGGAGTTAGACAGTGGTCTACCTAAAGCTTTTCTTTTATGTTTCTTCATGATATTACAGATTGCTATAATCATGTAGCTTCCTCCAAAGGCAAGCACAGCGGCTACAGCACCAACCAACATGGCCTTTGTGGCCTAGTCAACCCTCCATGGCCTGAGCCACTGAGAATGGAACGAGGGCTGATAAGAGGCCATCACCAGCAGCAATCCCACCAACACCGCTACCCCCCACGGCGAGCTCTGCGCACGGCGCATGTCCTCCTGGCCCGGCCAAGGCAACTGGAACACGAACCTCCCGTCCAAGAAAATGTAGCGGGCGACGAAGATGAGCGCCACCGGGAGGAAGAGCAGCAGTAGCCGGAATCCGGCCTCGGCGCGCCGCACTTGCGTCCTGTAGTCCACGTGCCAAGACATGGACAATAAGAGGACGACGATGGCGAAGACGGCGATGAGCTGTGGAGGAGGGAAGGAGATGGAGGACAGCGTCTGCTGCGTCCACCCGCGCTTCCATGGAGGACCCCTCTCGGTGTAGAACCACGCCATGGCTGGTGACCCGAGGCTGAGGCTGTTACATGAGAATAAAAAGAAGGTAATGGGTGTATTGGCGTCAGATTTTTCGTGGCATTACAACGAGCATCGACAGGGGGAATTAATGCAGCTCAAGTGGCTGGTTGCTTTCAGGCTGATGGAATCATTCTCCTTGTCTAAGGTTCGTGGCGTGGGAGATGACTTCACCAATTCAAAGCGGTGGTCTACGTACGTACCGAGCCGACCGCCTTTGAGGACAAGACGTATCCACTAGTATGGTAAGCAACATGTGATGTAGTACTGCACTCCATTTCACCATGAAATGCTTGAAGAATAATAAGGGCGTCGTTTTTATCCTCATCGTGAAGGTGTAGTGAGAAAAAAAAGATAAAAAAAAAATTTGAGAAAAAAAATCTAAAATACAACCATGAATGACAAATACCCTTTTTTTTACTACATTTAGTTTTTTAATAAGACAAAAAAAAAGAAAACTCATCCTGTTTTCATTTAAGTATATAAAAAAAATCATAACTCGATAAACTTACATGAGATCTTCAAAAAGTTCACATCAGAAAAAGAACCCTACAAACAAAGTTCTCAAAGCTACTTTCTATCTCTTGTAAAATTCTTTCCTTCACACATGTTCCCAACACCAAAACAAAATAGGCAATTAATGCACAAAAATGAGTTTCACCTAATCAAGGATGGATGACAGGTGGACAC